TTATCTCTATTATTATTATTATTATTAGTATTAATATTATTATTATTATTATTATATAGTATATTACGCACAAGTTTGCAAAGGCTTCGATTTACGAACCGAGAGGTTTACGGCGTAACGAGGTTCGTAAAGAAGCCTTTTCGTACGAGTTTCGTGTACTACTTAAGTACTTTCCCGCCTGAGAACCCAAAATCAAGCGGCGAAGGTGCTATTTTGAGGTTAGAAGGCGGAAAAATCTGTTAAACACAGCTACTGGAGCTGTTCACATAGACATTTTTTGCTTATTTCATTGTGAACGTTCATATTGAAAAGGGGGTTCCACTGTTCCACTAAACTCAAAGTGAGTGAACAGACTGAACAGACGTATACCTTTTTTTCCATCAGGCAACACAGCCTATGGTCGCAACTATGTTGACTGACAGAGAACACAGTATAGGTCTGATCAGTCTGTTTACTCAATTTGAGTTTAGCGGAACAGTGGAACCCCCTTTTCAATATGAACGTTCACAATGAAATAAGCAAAAAATGTCTATGTGAATAGCTCCACTAAGTATAATATTCCGATCGGAAAGCTTTAGCGGGGGTCTAGCTAGTGCCTACCTAGGCAGCCTAGCTAGCCTATACCTAGGTCCTAGCGAGAGTAGCGAGGCAAAAGTATAGAGGCAGATGGCGTGAGGTAACGCGGCTTAGCTTGGCCAGTGTTGGGTGAAGAGGATATGAAGGAAGCCAGTGGTTCTCTCCAAATGTGACTGTCAAACTTGCGGGAAATTCAAATTGGCTATATGGAGCAAGACGCAAATCCCCAGATAACTCGACATAATTTTATGCATTATAACTTAGTAAACTGATCCCAAGCTATTCAACCCAATAACTCGATGGGCCAAGCAGCCTCATGAGTTTAAATAAATAATAAAATTTATTTGTTAACAAAGCAAGCAAGCTGCTTGGCCCTACCGAGCGGAAAGCGGAAGTACGAGTCCCGTTAAATGGCGCTGATGCTGGTCTCCAAGTTATACCCAACAAAGCAGACGACAGTAGTGTTACACTACTACCATGCAGTGTACATACACTATAGTGTACTACTACCACAGTGTACTGTTTTCGAAATAAACAAAACATATATTATATAAAAACATACTGTTCTCGTCTGCGGTGCTAAATATTTTAGCCGATTGCAAACACAGAGCAAAGTATTTATCTAATCCCGTTGTAGAGTTTTTATGACGACCATATAGTAAAACATGATTCAAATTTAAAATTATGCTTCCTTCTTCAAAAGCCTTTACTCCACCATAACATATTTCATTTACTTAAATATTTTTATTGTAGGACACGAAATTTTGGTGAACATTAACAATAATATAATATTAATCTACCAACATTGTAAACAAGTTTTGTACATGCCACTCTGTATCACGTGGTCTTAGTATAACTTTGAGATCAGCATCAGCGCCATCTAACGGGGCTCGTACTTCCGGATAGAGTATATTTTCTGCATATCCCACCGAAAATGCTTTAAGTATATTATGTATTATGTTCTGCTCTGCTCCTTAACCTCGCTCACTAGGTGTGCGTAATATACTGTACTTCAAGAAATGAATTCTTAAACTAGGTGAATAAAAAATAGTATAATGTCTTACAACAATGGAAACTTTTTTATTAAAAAAAAAAATTATTTTTACAAAGTAAAAAATACAGTAGGGAAAAAATAGTGTCAATTTAATAAAACTGTGAGAATATTTTAAATGTTTTAGCCCTCAGCATTTTGCTTTTGACTCAATGACCAAATAACCCATCGTAATTTGCACGAATATTGAAGCCATGTATTTCTTTTTCTTCCTCCTTTGCAATTGCACGTTTTGTAGCACGATATCTCTTGACCCTTTCCTTACTTGCGATTGTTTCACTGTATCACTCATTTTATAAAAAAAAAAATAAAAAAAACTATTCAGTAAAAATGCAGAGAACCCTTAACATGTCAGTTATACATCGCTGCCTTGTTCGAGGATATATATATATATTGTATAGTACCACTTTCACCGCTAAAAGACGCCACAGTTAAGAGTAAAATTTCGAAAAAACTTTGAAAATCTAATCAACGGCGTGCTCTCACGCCTGCTCGCTAGCCCTCATTCCTTTTTCGGCGCTCGGTGACGACACAGGTCGTAAGAGATGGCTCATGCAAGCGTTAGCAAGGAGAAGGTTAGAGATCCAGGAGGAGATGGAGGTTATCGACGGTAGACTCCAGGAGCTACAAGGAGGACAGGACGACGAGGATGCCCTGAATTATGAGGATAAGATAAGGTTATTAGTCCCTCCTATGCCTTTGATTGCAGATTCGCGCAGGTTCCCGCTCACCACTACCCTATCGCGCGGCAAACGCATAAAACGTTTAATAAACGTAAATACAGAGCTGACCCCCGGATCCATCCCCAAGAATAAGTCAGGAGGTGGTGACTTTGATGGTTATCCGGGGGCAGATGCTTAACCTCTGTACCGAGCCTCGATAGCTAATCGTTGACGGTAATAGCAAAACGCCTCACAGTCGATCTGCACATGTTACAGACATTCTCCTAGTAAACCAGCGCGAGGAGGAAGTAGATCATTCGGACCTGGAGGATGACAACCAGGAGGCGGAGGAGGAAAACGAATCAAAGGAGGTCAACGAATCGGAAAAGTTGCTGGGGGATGACCCGTCAAAGGAAGTTCTTGACGAATCAATCTGAGACACAGTCCTGGTCGACAGGATAAAGAAATGGATCGAGGCGGGTCTGCCAAAAGAGGAGAAAGAGAAATTCCTTTCAGGTATTCGCCTCAAGGGTAATGTCGACCTCGAGCCTCGAGCCTCCGAAGCTAAACACAGAAAAAGCAGCGAGTATAACGCCGGCAACGGTTAAGAAAGACTCTCATTTCCGAGACCATCAGAGGTTAGTAGCGGAATCGCTATCGGCGGCAGCCGCGGCATACTCGCAGGTCAGTGCCGATATGGACCCATCACCAACGAGGACTACGCTACTTTCTGACCTTGCGAACTCGATAAAGCTCTCGGCAGAGCTCGTATTCCAATTAAATACGTCAAGAAAGGTGTACCTGGTTGGAGGCATGGAGGAAAGGATCCGGCCAGCGCTTAAGGGAGCCAAAACCACGGAATGGCTCTTCGGAGATAACGTGAAATCATGTGGACAAAATATATGCAGTGAAAACTTACTCGTCTTTTTTGATTTTTGATGTGACTAAGGCACAAATCTAATCACCAATAGAGGTATAATGCGCTAAAGTATATAATGCTTACACACTCAAGTAGCATATAAGCCTTATTGTTTACCGGTAAAAGCTTTCATGAGTGAAATTGATTTGCGGACATGAGTCCGGATATGAGTACCGGACACGATCTGAACAAGTTACAGCAGAATCACCCATATATGTTTAAAGTTTCTTGTACGGGCATACAAGAGTTAATTAATGAAGTTTATTTCATTACCAAAAGCACTTTTCATCCATTATTAGTGCAGTAGAATGAAAATAAAATCAGCAGTCTCAGGGCCTATTCATAGTGAGTTAGTTATTTTTTATAGGCCTTTTAAAGAAACATACAGTCATTACACAATTTACCTGGTAAATTAGATAAGAATATTTTTTTATGGTACATAGTTTTGTCTCTACATATCATTACTTACTGATATTAAATTCTAAATCGTTCGACTTATCAACTAAAAATGCCCAATAAAAACTGATCAAAAATACGTTTGTTGGTTTCTAGTTAGTTTTTGCACTTCGAAAACCAGATAAAACTCAACAACGTTAAAAACTTGATTTTTCTCATATCTATTTTTTTACTAGCACAAAATTGAACATACGTAAATCTGCAATTCTCAGTTCCTTGCATTCAAACGGCAACACTAAATTGTAAGGTTTAAGTATTTAATGTAAAGTGTAATAAAGAGTTCATTATTTTTTAAATTAAGATTCCAAGTCAAATAGTTGAACCGTACCGTTTTGCCATCCGAATGATGGCAACTAATGTTGTACATTAATTTATGTTTAATCTTGTGCTGTTGAAAAAATTGATATGAGAAAAACCAACTTTTGTACATTATGATGTTGTAGGTGGTTTGCCAAGTGCAAAAACCGACCAAAAAAATGACAAAAAAATTAACATCAGTTTTCATTGAACACTTACGATTGGGTTGTTGTATGTTCCCTTGATAGATATCCATGAAGAGAGAGTCTTAGAATTATTTTCGAAAGAAACTGTTTTGAATACTACTTGACAGTTGTGTTAGATTGTCCATGCATGATTTCCCTTTTAATTGATGATATACTGGGACGGGGACAACAATTGGTTGTGTTCTAACCAATGAGTCTAACAGTTGTTCAGCATTTTTTTCATTATTTTCAAAACGCAGGAGGCTAAAGAAATTGTTCTAACCTTCCATCCAGTTTAGGGACGAAAGTCATGAGATGCGTGTTCCAATCCCGAGGAAGTTCGCTTTATATGTATATACTAGCTAGTC